CTCACTGCCAGTCTTTTAAGAACTAACCTTCAGAGCATGTTTAGGATGGTTCATAAATTGCAAGGCTGAGTTACAAGTCTCTTCATTACCACTGCCCAAAGGTGCTGTATATAATAGTTCTCTCATTGTGACAACCTAATGGGGACAAATCACTTGAAACATTTCCCCAAAGGTATATAGAGAAAATAATCTCAGTACCTACAGACACCCACACATAAATGCATAATTACAGTACTTAGTCTTTCCTTTCACTTAGTTCTTCTTGTGGTTAAAGCTAGATAGGATGGTAAGCATGGGAAGAATTATTTTATGACAATTATACTAGAATTTTGCTCAGTGAAATCATAGTCTGACTCTCATATTGAGACTTGGAACACCAATTTCTTGCCTCAAGTTCCATCATGGAAATAAAACTTTAAAAAAAATAATGCTTTTAAAAAAAAAAAATTAAAATCATGTGATCTGGATCTGAGGTAGGAATTATTTTTTTGCTCTTGAATTATCAAATAGGAGAACTGTCTCATTGTAGGAGACACTGGATAGAGGAATTGGCTTATTTCTTATCTAAGCATAATCATATCACAGAACATCAGTATTGACTGGAGCTGGAGTATGGTCCAGATTATGTTTTTTTGAAATATAATCAAAATCAGAAGTTGTGCAAGTGATTTCTTTTGCTCACGCAGAGGTAGCAAGATTCATCTAACTGTCATCTACTGGGAAGCATTAGGAAATTCAGCCAGAGAAGCTTGTGCTGTTGTAGCTTCTGTGCCAATGCAATTTTTCTTGCATGCTGCTCAGAATTTCTTTTTGTAATGAGAATATTGTCAAAATCTATGCTTTGTGAAAAAGCTGAACAGAAATAAAATCAAGATACCTTTTCCTTTTTAAAGTGAACCTTTCTCCCTCCTTTATCCAGTGAAAAGTTACATTTCAGTCTGAAAGGAAATCTTTAATTTTGTGACATTTACAAGAAAAGCTGAAGTAATGAAGATGTGGATACTCAGAAGTGATCCTCTGCTGTCCTCTTGAATGAGTCTACTGGTTAGTTCTATGAGGCACAGTGCCTTTCCTTGAGAGGGCTTGAAGCAACGTTCCATCTCCCTGCAGCCAGCAAGTATTTTGTGGAGGGAGAAAGGACCATGCCAGGGTGAAAGATGTTCTCCATCATTCCAGTCAGCATAATTCCAACACCATGCCGCATTAGACAGAACTTTTTATTCTCTGCAACTGAGCTGGTAACCAATAGGTAGGAGACTGAATACTTTCCCTAGTTATCTGAACACTGATTTACCAGTGTTTAAAATTAAGCATATGGAAAGCCTCCTTAAATTAATGAGACTTTTAATAGACTGTAGGTATACTGTTAATCATCTGCTTAATCAAACTGTTAGAGTACAGACCCAAAGAACACATTAAGGTTTGCCTAAAGATAAAGGATGATTTATGGAGGATTTGATTTGAAAAGCATATAGGGCTGCTTAAACAAACAAACAAACAAACAAACAAACCCCACCTCCCCCCCCCCCCCCAAAAAAAAAAAA